ACGTTGAAATAGAAAGACCCAGACTCTCCTTCCCAACAGAGACACTGACTCAAAGACAATCCCTGACCAGGTCTTGCTTTTTAAATATATCTTCATTGTTGAAAGTGTAACAGATGTCCCCTTTATTTTCCCCATTGATCCTCTCCATCCCGCACCTGTGCCCCTCCCAGGCCTTCACCTGTGAGCTATGCACATAAGTTCTTTGGTTAATCTCTCCCCACCCACCCTCTGAAATTCATCAGTCTGTTCCATGCTTCTATGACTCTGGCCAGTTTTCTTCATGAGAAATCCAGCTAAGAGGTGCCTACAGACATGGGTAGAGAATTCATGACACTCACCACAATCCTGTCCCCAGTGTGTGCAGAGCAATTGGGAGAAATCACCCAGCTCTTGGCGTCTCCCTAGGGAGAAAGGGTACAAAACATATAGAAATGCCAACTACACATTAACCTTTAAAAACATCTTAAGCTTAACATGTAATTGGCATTTCCATGTTTTTTGTACCCTCTCTTCCTAGGGAGAAGCCTATATACATGCATAATCTATGGACACAGACAATAAGGTGTTGAAGGCCTGGGACAGGGAGGTGGGGCAGGCTGAAGGGGGTTAATGAGGGGAAAGGGGAATATGTAGTACTTTCAACAATAAAGAATTATTTTAAAAAATAAAAACATCTTTCATACCCTAAATAATTTGTATATTAGAATATAAATACAGTACTATGGTTTATTGATATATAGGGTATCCCCAAAAAATGTATGCACACTTTAACAGCTGATAGCTCTAGATTCTATTACATTTTGAAAATGAACTGTATTTTAATAAGCACTAACTTTATAGTCTGTATACATTTTGAGGGATACCCTGTACATAATTTTCCTTAGTGTAGTAAAGCTACTAGAATGGGGACAAGATGGACCTTCTATTCCCTGATACATAACCTAAGTCAAATACTTTCCAAGTATTTTGGAAATAAATAATGTTTAATTTCAAAATCCTCATTAACTAGAGTGTTTTTTGTTTTGTTTTGTTTTATTTTCATTGGAGGAATTCCATAAAAGCAAAATCACTTTCAGCATTGGACAAAGGCATGGAAGTCCATTAGGCTCTTATAATAACCAACAGAATTATATTCTTACCTTCAAGGTTTTATTCACCAGGGTCAGAGGAATAGTTATCCCTATTTTTATAAAGTTAATCTCTCCATCTGGGCCTTGGGCATCTCTTTCTAATTACCTGAGATGTTGCTCTAAAACTCACACTTTAATCATGTCTCTAGTCTTTTCATCTCCATGGGCTCCAGCCTTCATTTTGGTTTCAATGTTGCCTCAAGTTTGAAGCATCCTCATGACAGCACTCTATCTTCTTGTTCCTTTCCCTTAGTGGACAAGTTTATAAATTTGTTTACTAGAGCCTTTTTTTTTTTCATTCTGGCTACTTTTGCCTTTTGTCCCTTATAAGTCTCTGTGAAAAATGCCTTTCTAAAAGGGTCCCTTAATGCCCTTGTGGCCGAATTGAAATCTGTGTTTCCATGCTTGGTAAGATCTGTATTGTGCAAAAATATTTTGATACTTTTTCCTCTTACTTCATGAAACTTTAATGCTTTTTTTATATTTTCTCTTATTACGCCTACCTGTTCTTTTCTTCACTGACATTTTAACTACTCTCTAGACTGCAGAGTAGGGCTACATGCTTTTCTCCTACTACAACTCATTTTGTAATAGATTTACAAAAATAAGTTTATGATGTTTTTACATTAGAAGACCATTCACATTTAATATACATAGCTGTGCAAACTGCTGAAGTGAAGCTTTAAACGTCAATATGATGTTAGCACCATTTAAAGAGAGGTTGACAATTTGGGATGCTGGAAAGTTCTAATGAACAGCACATATTGATTCTCTTGATTCAATCTGAGTACTATATTTTGTCTATGTTGGAAATTTACACCAAAATTTAAATAAAAAAAAGTATAACAGATACACTCTACTAGGTGGGGAGGAGGAGGGGATAATTAAGAGTCAAAATTCCAGTGTATATTAGTGATTAATTTTTAAAATTCTGATTTCCAAGAAGTGACTATAGTTCAGAAACTTATAAGAATGTTTGTAGGAACTATAGATTGGTAAGCCCCAAAGAATAATGTGATTGATGTGAAATTCTTTTTGGTTTGCCAACTCCTGTGGTTGGCAGGGACCATTTGAGTGTCTGCTGACATCTCATCATGAAACAATGGGCCAGGCTAGGGTCCCACAGGGAGGATAATAAACCAGCCAGAAGGATGAAATCCTAAAGGAAGGACAATCAGCTTTTGTCTTAAATACAAATTTTATAAAATGTCAACCAAATGGACTAGAAAATAGAGGTTATTAATTCACACTATGATATTCTAATCTTTATGTTTAGGAGACTTTTTGGTCAAATTCTTTGTTATAGAGTTGCATTCATCTGAATGGTTATACTACCTCAGACATTATAATATTTGTAGAAAAAAGGGGAG